CACTTCAGCATTTACAGAAAGAGTATTCTCTATTATGAACGCAAAGTGGTGGGACGACAGGAATAAACCTTCATTAAAACTAATTAAAAATGAACTTTTAGTTTACTTAAATCTTTGTTTGGTATGTTTAGAGGCTATTAATGTATTTAAAAGCGACAGCAATTTGTTACTGGCTGCTAGATGTAACAAAAATATGTTTTTAAAAACAAAAAATTAAATACTTTATTTTTATGCTGAGTACTTTTTTTTAACCTTTTAGTCGAGAAATACTTTATGTAAAGCCTGAAAAGGTGGCAACCCTAATTGTGACTGACACATCATCATCTTAAGGTTGTCAGTCCTAAGACTGGTTGGACACACAGTAACCTAACCCTACCCCTCCTAACTCCCGTTTCTGCCTTTAATATGTCTCTGACTAGACCTTCATGCCTGAGAAGGTGTCCTACCAACCTATCTGACCTATTTCTTATTGACTTTCATAGAATCCTCTGTTCTCCTATTCATTCTAATACCTCTTCATTTCTGTCCTCATCAATCGCCTATAACCCCATATTTCGAACGATTCTAAGCTTTTCTTTCCCGCCACGTCTACTGTCCATGTTTCGCACCCATACAGCGCCGTGCTCCGAACATACACTTTAACCTAATATGTACTAATGACATTACTTTATTGACTGAGTTGTATGGACTATCGATGTCGTAAGCGAAATCTCTTAATAATTGTACAGTAGATACATGGATTCTTCGTTCTTTTTTTTGTGAATATCAAGAGATTGATTCAGTACTAATTTAAATGGTTTGATAAATACAACTGGCTAATTAAATTCTATTTAATAATAGCGGCCTTAAGTGGAATTTAAATTGGATTTTACTAATCTGGTAAAACCGTGTTAAATTTAATATAAATTTATGTAAATCATCTAAGGTAAATCATACTTTCTGTTTAATCACAGTGGAGGTCATCCTTTCCTGTGTGTGAATTTCGAAAATAGGAAGAATATAGAGTAATAAAGGGCAGATAGGATACTTTTGGGACAAGAATTCCCTAGGTGAATTAATCAGGTCGGTATGTGTATGTGCCGGAACCCACGACTTTACGAAAACAGAACTGCCGGATTCCCTAAGGAAATAAATATATCATTGAAATGGTGACAGAACTTCCTGGGAATCAGTAGTAATTTAACGAAACTCTCAGATATAATTTCTTTTATAGCTTTTTCAGTAACTTTTAAGTCAGAAATTCCTGATTAATTTCAATAATACCACCCCAGTTTACATATCTATTAATTAAGAAAATTCATTAATTGAATTACGGTATTTAATATTAGTAACGAATCCATGTAAAGAAACATTGGCTACAATAACCCATGATTTACTTTCACAATGTCATGCGTTATAACATGTGGTCACTGTACTTTTTTTATGTTGTTCAACGTAATTATAATTTTGTGAAAGTAATTTCGACACTTATGCACTTGTAGGTAACAAAGAAAGCTATCTTCTCCCTTTTTCATTTCACTTTTCAACATCTTAAGATGGCGCATGATTTCTTAACGTAATTTTCTTCCAGTTCGTTTATTTTTTCGGGGCCTGTTCGTTTCGTTTGAAAAGGTACTACTTCTTTAATTATGCAAATAGGTATAAAAGAAATAATTTGAATTGCGAAACAATGTAGGGAAGGGTAAATCCCAAGAGCTGTGTGTTGGCTCTGACTTCGATTGCATGCCAAATTAAGCGAAGAACACACTTATGCGATTGCAAATGGTGAAACAGTAAAAAAATGGGTCTCCCTATTTGATCCTGTTAGCTTTTTATCATTAATTTCTATCAGCTATAGTGTTTAATTTTTCAACTAATTTATCGAATAACATTATATTTACAAAAGGGAACATGCTGCTTAATGAAAACTGGATAAATTAAATTGAAAACTTCATCACAGCATCGCATTATTGTAGTCAAACCAAACCAAATATTCGAATGAGAAAATAATAATTTATTGTATCTGACAACTAGTCAGGACAGTAACCAGTACTTATTTACAGATTTAATTCAAATTCCCTGATTTACGTATATATTTGCCCCAAAACGATGTTATTTTGCTTTAATTATACGATTATTCAAGTACATATATTCTACCGACTATAATTAGAAGAGAATAGTCCGCTTAAACGTTTGAAGTAAACAATATAAAATGATATAGCAAGAAGTTTCGTCTTTTTTGATGTTTAAATTGTTAATTATTTCAATTTTCAAAGGACAGAGAAGCCTTAATGTTTCTTCAAATTTCTTGTTTATTCCGTAAAATGTTCGTAAACAACACTTTCTTTAAGTTGACAAGAAGTTAGATGTAAAAATTTATTTCTTTTGGTGGAATATCCTCGAATAATTTTCTTCTTTGACCAATAAAAAATAAAATATTGGTTTGCGTGCTTTTGTACATGCGTTAGTTTTATTTATGTATAATATTACATTTATTTATCCAGTGTATAGATAACAATAACGATGTATTAATATTGAAATCAGGTCTTATCGGATGAGTAGGATAGGAATCAACTTAAATATCACAGGAACTACAAAAAATATTGTGTTATTTTCGAAATATACAAATAATCAAAGCATTTTAGAACTTATCTATATTTCATAATTATTTTTATTACAGTTGAGTTCCCTACAAACAGTTTACCCTTTTAACTCGCCAAAATAAATATAATTTAAAAAAAATTAAGATCACAAATTAATTGAATAACATTTAGTCGCTTTCATTGAAACAGTTCTAATTTAACATTGGGGAAGGTAGTAGGTGCAAAGGAGGTTTAAAAAATTCAATTTTGATATTTCAGGTGGCCATTCACTTAGCCAATCGTGGTTTTCGGGTGTTTGCTGGATTAAAAGAAGGAGCTACCGAGGGTTGTAATAATGACGATTCCGTGCCATCAAGGGTAATAAGATCGTGGCAAAAACACCGAGAAAGCACTGAATGCCTAACGACCGGTGCTTTAATAGCTCTACCCATTGACGTTACCAGAGAGGACGTTTTACACGAAGCTGTGGACATAATTAGAGCTCACTTACCAGCTGGCAAAGATGGTAAGAATTAAAAAAAAAAGGACCATTAATCATTGTATGTTTACAAACAGTGGACGTAAAAATGGTAATTAACGTTACTGAAAAAGGACCGAGTTAATAAACTTTTAAATTAGACTTTAAGTGCCTTTTTATCTAACTCATTTTGTGACTCTTTTCAAACTTGTTAAGTACATATAGATATATACAAAATTACAATCAAGGAATTAATTAGGTACTCTGTTTAATATAGGAATTGAAAAAGTACTCAGGTGGAAACGGTTAAACAATTAAAACTTCATTAGTATTAAACAATAACAATACTTCTGTTATCATTACAACTCATTATAAGAATCAAAGTAGAGATAAAAGATCTGAAAACTTGGTTTGTGGAATCATAACTGAAGTTACTAGAACTTTCCGATCATTTAATTCAACTTTTACTAATCTTAAATATACATTCGGAAACCAGAAAATCTTGAGAGTATAAAAGCTCCTGCGCCCTAATCTACTAATCGTAAGATAAACGTAAGGCCGGTTGTCCACGAAACCGATGAAACTGTGACCGGACGGTTGGGAAGGTGATAGAAGCTGATTGATCCGGCTAATCAAATTGACTACGGAATGTATCGCCCAATTCGTATCAAATCGCGTTGTGACAGTAGAATAACCACACTCATTTACACGTATCTGATCTTCACCGCCCAGATGTCGCCGTTCCGACTTCCGTGAAATCGGATTCGTAGACGCCCAGCTTAAATCATAACTAACATTGCGGACTGTACGTTCTCGATTATTCTTTTGTAATAGCAGGCAACTGAATGCTACTTACGAATAAATAAAATGTAGCATTAAAAACGTATTCCTATACAATTTCTTACATCATCCTTTTAACTTAACAAAATGTGCTTATCTACAGTAAACGCCGCGTGCTAAGAACAATAGCAGGAAGTTTGTCTAATGAGATAATTGTAAAAGATGGGTAAAAAACATTTGTGTGTTATACTGACATGTATAGTGTAAAGAGATCGTTTTATTAAGTCACTCATGTGTGCCCATGTAGATGTCAAGGTTAATATGATGATTAAACTTGTGAATAAAATTATTATAGATACTAAAAATAACCACAATATCGTTTGTTACACAATTAATTTAATACGAAATTAACGCCTATTAATTTAATTGAACAAAAATGTTTCGTAGAAACTAAATTAATTGCTCTAATGAATTCACAGCTTACGTTTAGTATTTCAAAGATGGTATAAATAATATAAAAATTGAATTTGGAAATTTTGCATTTAAATAGAAGTAATTTTTTGTATTTTTTGTTTATCTGGATTTTAAATAGAACGACATATTTCAACTAAACTACAGTTCTCTTGTCTGTTTAAAATACAGTTGACAGTTTTAATTACATTGAAACAATTTTACAAACATATATTTATTATTACATTAGGAAGTTGACTTGTTTCAAGTACATTTTTGCTTCAAAACAGCTTGTGTAAATAATTTACAATAACGTGTTACAAGTTGCAATGCAGTGGGTACTCATACAACAAAGTAATTGATTCTCTTTTAAACTTCCTTTTCATTGGTAAAACGACACATTTAAAAATAAGTATCTGTTTTATATTTTCAATTATTTAAGAAATCGATACAGTAGAGTACTAACTTAACGTGACCCATCGACTGTAATATAATGAAGCAGTAAAGGTCATTAAACGATTTCGAATACAAACGGCTCTGTTATGATTAGCAATCATTCTTATTCTAATAAAATGTTATACTCATAATAAAAGATATACCTGCTTGGTCTAATATTATTGTTATAAACTAAACAGTGTGGAATAGATAAACGTTTCCAAAGTAGATTGTTACGCTAAGGTCAATCAATTTATCAACTAAGAAAGTTTCACGGTAACTTTAGTTTTAATTAAAACTTCTCACACTGAGATGTCAAGGTCGTTAAATTTCTAAGGCAAGGAAACATATACAATACAACTATGAAAATTGCTGACAAAATTAACAACATAAAGGAAGTGGTAATAGTTTTTGTGGTAGACACAATTCACAATTAGTACTGTTTAATAATGAAAATTTCAGTGAATAGTTACACTGAATATGACATTTATTGACAGTATATTACTTGAATTTACTAGTAATATCGATCGCTATGGATTTCTTACTTAACTTTTTAAAAATTCTGTTTGCACTTGACCAGTCCGTGTGACCAGTTGTCCCGCACTCTTATTTAATGAGCGTAGAATGCCGAGAACTTTAATTTGATAGGTACCTATACGCTCTACGAGGTTTGTTCAAGAAGTATTGCGAATTTTGAATTTCCGCGGGTTTCGTACATTCGATTTTCGATTTTTTTGTGGTATTATGTTTCTCACTTATATCGACAAGTTCGGCCATGTTGAATGTTCAGTTAATTTTTAACAGCTGCTTTGCTTGCACGTGTTTTCGCTCGTCTTCGATTTTCCAAAATATGGATCAAAGAATCTGTAAAAATTTTGTGTTAAAAACAAAATTAAGTACGCGGACGCATTCCGAATATTGACTTTGGCATATGATGAAGCTACCTTGGACCGAAGCAACGTTTATCGGTGGTACAAATGGAGTCGAAAAGATGTGAACGACGAAGAGCGTGCCATACGTCCGAGACGTCAACAACAGACGAAAACACTGATGAAGTGAAGAAAAAAAACAAATAGAATGGCTTCTGCGATTTGATTTTTACCAATGATTTCGGCATGAAACGGGTCGCCGCGAAATTCGTTCCAAAATTGCTCAGTTTTGAGCAAAAACTGCATTGCATTAACATTGCTGAGGAGCCGTTGGACTCTGTCCGCTACGACCCAAATTTGCTCGAGAGGGTCATAACTGGTGACGAATCATGAGTTCATGCTTATGATGTGGAAACCAAAGCTCAGTCATCCCAATGGAAGCTGCCGCACGAAACAAGATCGAAAAAAGCGCGCCAAGTTAGGTCGAATGTGAAGGTTTTGCTTACAGTTTTCTTCGATTGCAGGGGTGTGGTGCATCATCAGTACGACAGAGTAGAACTGTCAATAAGGAAACAAACAGAAACGCCCGGATTTGTGGAAGAACAAAAATTGGCTTTTGCACCATGATAACGCCCCTGCTTACATATCGTTGCTTGTGTGCGAATTTTTAGCCAAAAACAACCCACAAATAATGCCGCAGCTACCGTCTTTTTCAGATCTGGCCCCCGGAACATTTTTTTTGTGCCCAAAACTGATGAGGCCCATGAAAGGACGACGCTACGCTACGATTGAGGAGATAAAGACGGCATCGAAGGAGGAGCTGACCAAGATCATAAATAAGATTTTTTGAAGTGCTTCGAGAATTGGAAAAACGTTGACACATATGTACGATATATGGTGGGGATTATTTTGAAGAAGATAAAATAGATATTCATGAGCGGTATTTTTTGAACAAACCTCGTATAGGTCGCTGCGACCTATGCAAACACTACATCCGAAATGTTATTAAGAATGTAGAAAAATTCCTTTTTGTGAAATCGCCTAAAGAAATAATTCGGAAAAAAAAAACATTTTCCCCGGGTGAAATTAATATTTAACGTACACTCGTAAACTGTATTTTATGTGTAGGTATAAAGTCGGTACTCGCAACATTTGTATAAAATAACAGTCTGCTTTTTTCTGTTTAAAGGTTTGTGGGCGGTAATAAACACGGGCGGTCTGTTATATCGAGGTAAATTAGATCAGCAAAACATCTCCCATTGGGATGCCATGTTGAAGACCACGGTGCTGGGGATTTTACGAGTAACCAGGGCCTTCCAAGGGCTTCTACGCAGTGCCGGTGGCAGGATAATCACGTTCGGGGCGATCGAAGGTGGCGAGGCCGGATTAGTTGCATACACTGCATCCAGATACGCTGTCGAAGGCGCTAGTAACGCTTTAAGGGAGGAATTGAGCCCCATGGGTATCAAAGTCGTTTGTCTGAACAATCACGGACTTCCGGATGATTTGATGTTTGCCATGCCAAAATTGAAAAGGTAAGTCTGTCTCAGCGACATATTTCTGTCATCAAAATAAGTCTGCTCTAGGAAAACATTATTTAATATCCATAAATAAAAAATTGTATGTTTGCTTTCGTTCCCTTCGTAATGAAAAACAGATTTCTATGTCGACACAATAGGTATTGGTTGTTTGACCACAAAAGGTCGTAACATTATTAAAATCCTCGAGATTGTATGAAATAGGTAGAGGCTTGACGATAAAGTAAAGGTGTAGATGATAGCCTTCACCCTTTCGTGGGTGGGGGTAGGGGGGAATGAAAAGAGGAGGTCTCCCCCACCACTGTACCATAAAAAGTTCGTGGCGGTCTCACCCCCATAAAAAGTTAATAAACATGCCAATTTTTATACATTTCTAGGCATGTAAATATTTATATAGTCATTCTTAAACAATATTGAAAGGTAAAACTAATGAAAAAATATTGAGAAAGTTATATAAAACGTTATTTAAATATCTTTATCAATAGGGTAGGTTAGGTTAGGTTATCGGGTTTTGTTCAAGTGACCACCCTCTTTCGATCCCCCACCTCCACCCGCTTGAAAATATTTTTTTATTGAATTTTATTTGAATTATAGTGTATGAAAATTGTCAAAATAATCAACTTTAAACCCCCATAACTTTTTATGGGGGTGAGACCGCGACGAACTTTTTATGGTACAGTGGTGGGGGAGACCTCCTCTTTCGATCCCACCAGCACCTACCCCCTTCCGGGGGTGGGGGCCATCATCTAGACCTTTACCGACGATTATTCTTTTCAATTATTCTGAAAACTAGTACCAAAGTATTTTTTTATCTTTTCATTTGCTTCGTAATAATCGAGTATTAAATTAAAATGCGTAATTAGTCGTGGCATATTCAATAATTCAATTCCTTTCATAAACGATATGCCAAGTTTCGTTTTAACAGACAAGATCGTAATCAAATAAAGTTGTAAACATTGGGACCCAGTTTATGTGCAACCCTTTATGAAATTCGACTTATCGACCTCTTCGCAGAACGCCTTCGGAGATTGCTGATATTGTTCAAAGAAAAGCTTGTAATTTGACTTCATGCCTTCGTATATTGTCAAGTTTCTCGGATAATAATTAGGTAGCGGTTAATTGGCGCGTATAAATTATTACGTAATATGTACACACTGGAGTAAAATAAGGGGAGAGCGTCTTTAGAAATGCAGAATGTTAATTATAACGCGGAAGAGACCATACGTTCAAGGTAGAAATGGGGTAACTTGTCATGATTATGAATATTTGTAAACAACCAGCAAATAGATCATAATATGCTTTTAGGAAAATTATAATCATTTTGTCATTAAGAATGTGTATGTACAAGGATTTTTGGGATGTATTTTTCTTTAGTATGACGTTCCAGTTATCATCATTGTAAATACATCTGGGAAAATTATTCGATTTATCAATTAATAATCGATTATCCATTAGTAGAAATAATCGATTGTAGAATTTAATAATCGCCCAGCTCTTGTTGTAACAACCTGACGTTTGGTAATAGGCATCGGAAATAACCCCCACGCTTTTGCAAGTTAGAGGGTGTAGGTTCAATAACAGTAATAAATTATTCCAAGCTATGTTTCTACCACCTGCCACTTTATATTTGCTTATGAGAAACAACAGACGTGAGTTATTATTTATTTATGTACCTTAGTCGTTCGTCGGGTCAAATTTAAAACGGCAAAAATCCATTTGTTATATTTCATATGAAAAATTAATAGATGACTCGAATATATACAAAATGTTCGAGTTTGATTAATAAAAGTTGTGACCAACTTCCAAGTGTGTTATTTATTCATTTAATTATTCAAATATATATAGTATAAACGGTTTGATTTCTGATAGAAGAAAAGTACAATAAGTTTACTATTCTTTTATAATAACAAAAGACAGTCTTTTAGGTCGATCTACTTTTAGAGAACTCAACAAAAATGGGGAAGTTTCTAACTTTCTAAATTACGAAACTTTTCACCAAGTGTTTTTTATCTCCTTTTGTTGTTTTGGTTATCATTTTGTAATCTTGGTTAGTATACAACCCTAAAAGTATTTATTTGAAGGAAAGTTCTCAATGACGAAGAATGCTCTTTCGTTATTGATTGCTGTTCAATTTTCGTATACTGAAATCACGCACTAGAAAATGCGACACTCGGTTAAGCATTGCAAATAGCATCAATATTTTCTGGAACGTAAGGAATTCTGGAAGGGTGTTCAACTTCCAACCCCATTTCATTCCTTTATTACTTATTTATAGAAAGGAAGAGACGGTATCCATTTTGATGGCCTAAGGCGATGTTGAGTTTTATTATTTAATGAAAAATCTTTAGGTTTCCGTGACCTGGGTTTATTAGCCGAAATCGTTACTATGCACGCTAGCCTAGCTCTTACCCAAAAGTATTCGTGGGATCTTTAGATTCCATTCTACATTAATAGCACTAAACAGTTTGTCTTTGTGACTTTGTCGATTCTTAAAACCTATACGACTTACTGAATGGGTTATATGTCATATTTAATTATATTTTAAAAAATTGTATCGTCAACTTTATCTGGTATTTGTAAAAACTCATTAAAATGCAAATATTAAATGTTTTTATATTTGTGGTAAATTAAATGACTTAAATCAAGCAATAAATTGTACTTAGCACTTTGTATGTGTATTGTATGTACGGAGTTATTTGGCCTCCAATTTTTGAAACTCCGTTTTCCGTTTAGTTCAAGAAGGTGAACTCCTTTCAATGAACAAGCCAAGCAGACTTATGTAACCGATACTAATTAGTGTCAAGAATTTAAAATTAATATAAACTTTAACTGTTACCTTTACGCATTCTTGCTCAATAAATATGTTCTCCGACCTGAACAAACACTTTAGAAAATCATTTGTTCCGTGAAGGAAATAAAAATTCATTTCTCTTTTTCTCGATTCCAGTAAACAAGAATCCGGTGATGTGTCAGTTGACATGAGCGGATGCCTCGACTATTACCCGACAGCTTTGTCTGATACGGCGCTGCAAACTTTAGATGTTGCCATCACTTCCGGAAAACCGAAGAGAAATTACACTCTGATGAGGAATCCCAAATGGTTGAATCCGTTACAATTCGTTAAAGTTGTTTGACTGAATGGCAGGGCACATTTACGCATTTCACTCGATTATTACTAACACCCATGATGCAATAATAACATGTGTACCTAATAAACATTTATATCGTGGTTCTCTGTATATATATACATACATGTATTTCATTAATTTAGAAAAGTCGATTCAATAAACTGTTTTTGTATTATATTTTTAAAATAAAAAATTAAGCTTACTGTACTGTTTGTTTAACTTGAATTTATTCATAATTAAACTAACTGTGAAAGCATCGGAGTAGTTACATATGTGAAGTTGTGTATGGTAGAAATATATTTTAATAATCAATTTGGAAAGCTACAATTTGAAGGCAAGTTTCAGAACTGATAGAATGTGCCAACGGTTTTCGAGTGCGGTATCAAATAAGTAGGTAAGCTAGGATAAAATAGTTTAGACATAATAAACTGCTCCTGAAATTACTGCGAGATGAAAGCTATTTACTAAGGTTCGAGAAGTGATAATAATTATGTAAAAAACTACGTAGAATCTCATGGTGTCAACAGTTTTTAAGTGCGGTGCTGTATGGATACTTTCCGGCATTATTTTGCTGGAATATGTAAAATATTTTAAACATAAAAAGGCGCTCGTGAAATGAGTTGGAGTTGGAAGGTAGTTACTAAACTTTGAGAAGTAATAATTATGTAAAGAAATACGTAGAATCTCGTGGTGCCAACGGTTTTTATGTGCGGTGTCAAATGGATACTTTCCGGCATTATTTTGCTAGAATATGTAAAATATTTTAAACATAAAAAGGCGCTCGTGAAATGAGTTGGAGTTGGAAGGTAGTTACTAAACTTTGAGAAGTAATAATTATGTAAAGAAATACGTAGAATCTCGTGGTGCCAACGGTTTTTAAGTGCGGTGTCAAATGGATACTTTCCGGCATTATTTTGCTAGAATATGTAAAATATTTTAAACATAAAATAGCGCTCGTGAAATGACTTGGAGTTGGAAGGTAGTTACTAAACTTTGAGAAGTAATAATTATGTAAAAAAAATACGTAGTATCTCGTGGTGCCAACGGTTTTTAAGTGCGGTGTCAATTGGATGCTTTCCGGCATTATTTTGCTAGAATATGTAAAATATTTTAAATACAAAAAGGCGCTCGTGAAATGATTTGGAGTTGGAAGGTAGTTATTAAACTTTGAGAAGTGATAATCATGTAAAAAAATACGTAGAATCTCGTGGTGCCAACGGTTTTTAAGTGCGGTGCCAAATAGATACTTTGCGACAATATTTTGATAAAATGGATAACATTATAACATGAAAAACCGCTGGTGAAGTGATTTAGAAATTGAAGGTGGTTACTAAACTCTGAGAAGTGATATTTATATAAAAGAGTATGTAGAATCTCGTTGTGCCAACGATTTTCGAGTGCGATGTCAAATTGATAGGTATTTGTATAAAGCCAAAAAAAGGCGGTGGGTGAAATTATCTAGAGATGGAAGCTGTTCACTAAAGTTAGAGACAGGTAAGTTCCCATTTGTGACAGGACCTCTAAAAATTCGTTCTCTACTACTTTTCCATTCATATAGAACGAAAATCGTAAATAATACGAAAATGTTCCATTACTATAAAATGATACAGAGTTATAATATAAAATTCCCAACAAAAAAAGGACAAATCATCTATTTCATTCTGTCGGAATGTTGACAATGTTCAAAATTGCGCTTCAGAAAAGCTCCTCTCGTATAAAAGCTTTCTATGTGGAATAATAATAACTGGAAAGGTTCAAAGGACCCTTCTTATGAAATCTTTCAGAAAATTTAACGATGTTATTTCACGAATACAAACGGCGTGTGGAAAGTGGAAAGTGAAATAACGCACAGTGTTAAAAGGTGATAAGGGCATGTCAAACCTGTGACTACGTAAAAAAGACAAAAGTCATTGATTTGTTCACAATTTTAAGTAGGTATGCCACTCCTAACGATGCCCTAACAAGGAAAAATAGAAAAAACGATAGAAAAAGGAATGAGTGCGTACATAGGGTTTGCAGATTTAGAGAAAGCTTTTGACAATGTTAAATGGGACAAGATGTTAAATATATTTAAAAATGTAGGGTGAGTTACAAAGATAGAAGAGTGATACTTAGTTTGTATAAAGAGCAACAGGCAGTTATAGAGCTAGGGATGCAACGTAGAGAAGTAAATATTAGGAAGGCAGTCAGACAGGGATGCACACTGTCACCGCTACTTTTTAATCTATACATCGAAGACGCCATCAACATCATTAAAGACAGTACAACTGTAGGGATAGATGTGCAAGGGCAAAAGATTAGTATGCTTAGATTTGCAGATGATATAGCAGTATTAGCATCTAGCAAGGAGGACCTAGAGATAGCTTTAAATAAAATGGAAGCGGTACTGACAGATCAGTACTGTATGAAAATAAATAAAAGTAAAACTAAAATACTGATATGCAAGGGAAGAAAAAGTAGGGAAAGAGCGAATATAAAGATAGGAGACGAAAAATTAGAAGAAGTGGCTGATTTTAGATACCTAGGAAGTCAGATAAGTGAGGATGGAAGGAGTAGTAGGGATATAAAGCAGAGGATAGCGCAGGGTCGTGTCGCCTTTAATAAAAAGAAGTCACTTCTATGCTCGCGAACGGTTAATTTAGAAATTCGAAAAAGGTTGTTAAAGGTGTATGTTTGGAGCACGGCGTTGTACGGGTGCGAAACATGGACAGTGGGAGCGGCGGAAAAGAAAAGGTTAGAAGCGTTCGAAATGTGGTGTTATAGGCGGATGATGAGGATATCGTGGGTAGAAAAGGTTAGAAATGAAGAGGTATTGGAAAGAATAGGAGAACAGAGGACTCTATGGAAGTCAATAAAAAATAGGCGAGATAGGTTGGTAGGACACCTTCTCAGGCATGAAGGTCTAGTCAGAGACATATTAGAGGCAGAAACAGGAGTTAGGAGGGGTAGAGGTAGACCTAGATTAGATTACTGTTCGCAAATAGTTAAGGATGTGGGCTGTTCTAGTTTTAGGGAAATGCGAAGTTTAGCTCAGGATAGGAAAGAGTGGAGGTACGTGTCCAACCAGTCTTAGGACTGACGACCTTATGATGATGATGATGAGGTATCACCAACCAATTCATACTAAGTAATAAATTATTCAATTTCATCAACTATTAAAGCTGAAATCCGCCCTTTATTCGCTAAGTAATTTGATTTACAATATGATTTAAAATTTATTATTTAACAAATACAACAGTCACTATAGGCAACCTTTTAAACTCAGTTGAATTAGTTGTAAACAATAAACTCCGTCGCGGAGAGAGCAAAAACCAAATTGTCAGATTAATGATTTGTTTTACAATTACATTCAAAAACAACATGAGTAAGTATGTGTAACGTGAGGTATTTCACATGGCGAGATTTTTTTTTCTGGGAATAAATCACAAAAAGCAATTATATCACGTCACATTTTGCATATTAATTGTTTTAATGACATGTTTGGATTACTTACACGTGTAGTCAAAAATTCAAAGTCAACGCACGTTTAAATTCCTGTATAATGAATTTACGACTTAAAATATCTGCCTACCTGCCTATTTTAGAAAATTTAAATATAATTGTGTTGATTTTAAGTAAACACGATAAAAAAGATGCCTATAAACAGAAGAGTGGGCCTTTATTGTTATCTATGTATAGGATTTTATGAATTTGCTATATTATGTGAACAAACAATAAAAAGAGAGTTTGTGCTTTGTATCTCTGATAATAATTTTATTCTTATGTTTTTTCGGATTCCCTAGGGTATATGACTAAAAATAGTACCTACATTACATATCAAGAAGAAAATAGGTACAGTTTTATTTTTCCGATATGAATTGCTGGTAAATACGCCTCTTTTCGAGGTTTTGATTTATGAATCATGATTACTATTTTTGACGGTATCAATTGTCTACATTGTGCTTGTCTTTTATAAGAAACAGCCCATCATTCTTTTTTGTTTTTATTCTTTTGTGATGTGTTTCTGTGTTGTTTTCTTTGTTTCTTTGTTAACTTTTAAAGGGACTCTTATATATACGAGATATTGCTGTTACCTTTTTATACGTATGACATTGTTATGTTAGATAATACTTCTCGGATGAAAGTGGATCATCTTCTTTTATTTCACGTAATATAATCCACGTGTATGTGTATACGAAGTTATATATATATACACATATATAAATGTGTTAATTTGTAAGTAAAAGAAAACAGTTTCCCTACAATTTTCATTTGAATAAATATAATAATGTACAGTTTGATGAAAACGGACGATTAAAATAAACTGATAAGATAAACTTACCTAAATTATTTTCTTCCTAGAAGTCACCTTGCAAAACTATAACTAATGTGAATCAACACTCCTGTGCACATTCAGTTAGAGTTTCAATGACCATAACATCACAAAACTCACAAACAAAAGCAAACATTACTTAATGTTGTTATTATCTTTTTTGATAAGGACTCTTGTTGAATTTAAGAATAAATAAAAAAAACACAGGTATGCAAGGGAAGAAAAAGTAAGGAAAGAGCGAATATAAAGATAGGAGACGCAAAATTAGAAGAAGTGGCTGATATTAGGTATCTAGGAAGTCAGATAAGTCAGGATGGAAGGAGTAGTAGGGATATAAAGCAGAGGATAGCGCGGGGTGGAGTCGCCTTCAATAAAAAGAAGTCACTTCTATGCTCGCGAACGGTTAATTTAAAAATCCGAAAAAGGTTGCTTAAAGTGTACGTTTGGAGCGTGGCGCTGTACGAGTGCGAAACATGGACGGTGACTACTGCGGAAAGGAAAGGCTTTGAAGCGTTCGAAATGTGATGTTACCGGTGAATGATGAGGATACCGTGGATAGAGCAGGTTAGAAATGAAGAGGTATTAGAAAGAATAGGAGAGCAGAGGATTTTATGGAAGTCAATACGTAATAGGTGGGATAGGTTGGTAGGACACCTTCTCAGGCATGAAGGTCTAGTCTGAGACATATTAGAGGCAGAAGCAGGAGTTAGAAGGGGTAGAGGTAGACCTAGGTTAGATTACTGCTCGCAAATAGTTAAGGATGTGAGATGTTTTAGTTTTAAGGAAATGCGAAGATTAGCTTAGGATAGGGAGGAATGTAGGTGCGTGTGCATCCAGTCTTAGGACTGACAACCTTATGTTGATGGAAGCTACGAGGTATTGATTACAAAATCAAAGATTCAAAATATTTAATAGCAATAAAGCAGGGAAAATTTATAGTTAAAGTATAGCAAATTAGTTACATGTAATACAGGTTTAGCAAGCTTTTACTTTTTAAACAAACTTTTTATAAATGTTATTAGCTGAGTTAGTTTAATAATAATGAAAAATAAAACGTTGTGGCAAATGATAATAAAAAAAATCAAGTCACACGTATTCAATAGACAGCGGCTGAATAAGAATGGCCTCCAAGACAGTTCCTTCGTCGCAAATTTCACCAAATCCTTGAGAGTTTTTTGCTGGTAGACGAACAAGGGCACTCGCTCCGACGAAGCTATTGATTCGGCTACTGATCTGATTGCCAGTCGGGATAGCTTCAAGGATGTCATCGTTAGAACACTTCCGAAGACGAGCCCTTATGTATTCAGGTCTTGGATCGAGTATCATTTTTTTGTTCTGAACAAACAATAAATCAAAAATCAGTGAAAAATTGCGGTACATAATACTTTTTTTTTTCATTTGTTTACAGTTCAATCATAAATGAAGTGTAGACTTATTTCACCAAAGTTTGTTCAGCTTAGGGCCTTGTCCTGTTTTCAAATGAATCATTACTATCGATAAAAATCATTACTGATTTAGTTTTTGTATATAAAACGCCTTTTTTAGAAAAAGTTATCTTTACACAATTAGTTAGCGTCTAGGAGAATTACCTTCTAATTTTTCTTGCTACGTAAAATATAAGAAGTAGAGAACGCAAGGTATTGTTTTTTAACGGTCACTTTTTTTGGGTCAATATGTACATTAGGTCCTCCTTTAACGAGAATTCTTTCACAAAATTGTAATGAATTATCAAGTGAATCATGAGCTTAACCGGTTTAATTATCTTTTGGTATTTTTACTCGAGTTTTCCAGTTAAATTAGGCTGTGCTGCCTATAATTTTTTTTAATGAAATTATTTTCAAAATGTACACACTCAACATTTTAACTATGCGTGTGCTTTTTGTATGAACATCAAAAAAAGGAATAGCATATTTCATAAAAAATGATTTAGGTCGCTTGCTGGATAATGTAGAAACAAAGCGAATCTAATAATAATTTTTGGGAAATTCAGAAATTGAAAATAGGTGCTTACCAAGCGGACAGATATAACCGGCGGTCTTAAGTTTTCGTAGTTTTCCATTTTCTTCAGTCCTGGTAGAACAAATAACGTCCCTGTTACTAAAGCAGACACAGGATTTCCGGGTAAACCAAAAACAAACTTTCTTCTGCCGTTGAACGTACAGGTGGCAAAAGTGGTTGGTTTTCTTTAGAAACAGTAATTAAGGATTAAGGATAATCTACTTGATATGCAGAGCTTAACAAAATTTAATTAACACCCAAACATGTCTTTGATATTACTCTGATTAGAATTAATCATCCATTTGATTTTGAAATAATGCCAGGGATTATTGTATAATCTGTCTGTTGCGGCTTCAAATAATATTTGTACATATATATTCAATTTTGTTAGTGTTTATAATTTTTGTAAATATTCAATTTTGTTCGTATTTTTAGTTAGTCAACACTTTGTATTTTATTCTAGTTGTAGTCAATTTTAATGTATTTATTTCTGTAGGTATAGATAAATATTAGTTTCTTAGAATAGGTAATGCAGCAATTTTAACGAAGAGATCGGTCCAGGTAGGTCTCACAAAACCATTCATTAATGGAAAACCCAAGTCCGTCGCTACGTCATCACTTCGGAATGTGCAGATAATACCTTAGGGGTACGTAGCGACGGCGAAGGGGTAATGTGCACGATAGGCGTTGCCTATTTTGTGCCAACGTTATTTAAACAACGACAATTCAAATTTTTAGTATTCGAAAATCAACATTCAAGCTTTAACATTCAAATCAATTCACATTCAACAACAATTCAATTATCACCAAGATTCAATATACAATAAAATAGTAAGTGTACATAGTGTATTATATTGTACAAAATAAACCAAACAAACCAAAAAAGTGATTTATTCATCAACAAAATCCGAAAGAATATATGGGGCAGTGAGCGAATACTGCAACCACCGAACATTGGTCCTTCGAGCCGGATATTCCGAATTTTCCGATTCCCCGATTGCCAGTATTCAGCTGTACAGGAATCTTCATTCGAGTCGATCCTTCATTGTAAGCGTAACCAGCATTCCACAGTCGAAACAAGGTAAGTGGCATTGTTTTTCCCAACCGATTCTGTATTTTCCTTTTTTCCTTATTGTAAAGGAATTCTTCGTTTGTCATTGTTTCAATTTTGTGTCAATTTTAATACTAATTCAATATTATGGCGGATATAGAGAGCCTCACTAAAAGGAGAGCTATCTTGAAATCAAAATTGACTAGGGCGAAACATTTTTTAGAGTCTTTTGATCAGAGTGTTCACACAAAAGATCAATTAATTAGTAGATTGGAAGGTTTTAAATCAGTATTAGACGATTTCGAAAACGTGCAATTCGAAATCGAACTATTAGACAAGTCAGAAATCGATAATAAAGAAAGGGGCTTATTCGAAAATGAATATTATAATTTACTTGCTGGTTACAATGCTAAAATTAATTCATTATCTCCCAGTAATCTCGCATGTAGCAACAACATTTCTAATAATCAAAGTCCGTCGCAAACAATTAATAATAATATTCAGCTACCGAAAATCGAACTACCTCGTTTTAGTGGTAATTACGAAGAATGGTTGTCTTTCTATGATTTATTCAATTCAGTTATTCATGAAAATTGCAATTTAACCAAGATAGAAAAATTTCATTACCTGAAAATGTGTCTTACCTCTGAGGCTGCTCATGTAATCAGTTCGTTAACTGCATCAGCCGATAACTATACAAATGCTTGGCAATTATTAAGGGAACGATTTCAAAACAAACGTCTTATTATTCAGGGGCATGTTAATGCGTTATTCAATTTACCAACTGTTCAAAAGGACTCTTCCAGTTCTTTAAGACGATTATTGGACTCATTTAACACTCACTTTAGGTCTCTCACAACTTTAGAGTTACCAACCGAACAGTGGGATATCTTATTAATATATTTAATTAATACCAAATTAGATTTAGTAAGCAAAAAGGAATGGGAGACATCAATGAATTCCGAAATACCTAATTTAGAACAATTAATTAAATTTTTATCTAATCGCTGCCAATTGTTGGAAACATTGGAACAAACAAAAAACTCTAATATTAGTTCAGACAGGATTGCTGTAGAAACTCAGAGAAATGCAAAAAATTATTCGTTGCCAAATGCAAGGCAACGGGTATTAAATACTTATGTAAAACCAAACTCTCTAAGTTGTCCTGTATGTAAAGGTAAGCATTATATCAATCAATGCGATAAATTTATCAAAATGCCGGTTAACAAAAGAATTAAATTTATTCAAAAGACAAATTTATGTTCTAATTGCTTCCGAACCAACCACAAAACACGTGAATGCTATGCTGGTTCTTGCCGTAAATGCAATAAGGTACATAATACCATGTTACATATTGAAAAAACCGATACAGCTTTAGAACCAACTGAAGCGTTAGAAAACTCTACTCCTTCAACTTCTGCTGTCGTAGGTCATTCGTTTTCTAGTTCTGTTCCTAATAGACAAGTATTACTATCAACAGTACAACTTTTAGTATATGACCGTAAAGGTCAACTTCAATTATGTAGGGCATTATTGGACGCAGGGTCCCAACTCAATTTTGGATGGATCATAGGAGGTTCAATAGTTAATAATCAAATTCAAAATAGACAGTGCAATTTTGTTCATCTGGAAAATCAATTATCAAGATTTTGGGAAATCGAAAACATAACTGATCAAACAAGTAATAACTGTACCAACGAGGAGAATGCTTGCGAAACACATTTTAAAATTAATTACCAAAGAAACGAAACAGGACGTTTTGTAGTACGCCTTCCCCTAAAGCCCGAAATACGAGTTTGCAATGTAGTTACCTTCAAACCAACACCATGGTCAACTTTGTTGTTAAAATATTCGTCCTATACCAAATTATTAAGGGTAACGGCACTCATTCGTCGATTTCTTAATAATTGTAGAAATTCAAACAATAAACAAATATCAAGTTTAACGATAGCAGAAGCAAATAATATAACAGTTAAAACCGTGCAAGGAGAAGTTTTTTATCCAAAATTCAGGCAGTTAAATTCAATTCAGTCGTTACATAAGTCAAGTCCAACACTATTACTCAATCCCTTTTTTGACTTACACGGAATTTTACGAGTAGGTGGTAGATTGGGTAACGCAAATGTGGCATATGATCAAAAACACTCTTATATCGTGCCTAAACATTATATTACCAAGCTAACAATATCCCAATATCACAACAAATATTTTCAAATGCAGGCAAAACCGAATGCAGTACATCAGCTTATGACTGATTTGCCTGCAATTAGACTTCAACAATTCAAACTTTTTGTTAATACCAGTGTTGATTATGCCAGTCATATCTTAATGAAGGAAGGTTGCAGACGTGGCAAAAGATTCATTAAGGTGTATATAAGACTTTTTATTTGCTCATCAACAAAGGTAGTACATATCGAATTGATTACGGACCTGACCTCAGAGGCATTTTCAGCAGCACTTAAAAGATTTATTACTAGATAGGGTAGGATCACAAATATTTATTACAACAACGGCACCAATTTTGTTTATGTTAATCGAAAGCTTAAACAATTATATCATCATAATAAATTTAAAAATCATTTATGCGACGCTCTCTCTTACAAATTAATAACGTGGCACTTTATACCACCAAAATCCTCGCATTTTGGAGGAATTTGGAAGGCTGCAATAATGTCTATCCAAAATTATTTCAAACGCATTGTTGGAAACATGACAATGACATTCGAAGGATTGTACACCATTCAAACTCAGATTGAAGCAATCCTAAATTCCCGTCCTCTCCCACCTATTCCCGATGCACCAAATGACCAAGAAGCCCACACACCCGGGCACTTCCTAATCGGCATGCCACTTACTACGATCCCGGAACCGGATCTAACCGAGTTAAATCCAAATCGACTATTCCGACGGCAACACATCCAACAACCCAGCCAACATTTCTGGAAACGCTGGAAAAGTAAATACTTGACTTCGCTACAATCAAGGCCAAAATGGAAACCAATCAAAACCAATATTCCCGTAGGAATTATTCTTATTATTCTCAATGAGGACAACCTTCCACTGCTCCAGTGGGCTGTTGGCCGGGTCGTAGAAATTCACCCAGGACAAGACAACCTAGTGCGCGCTGTATCTATAAAAACGACGACTGAAATAGTGAAAAGTGCAGTGACTAAGGTGTGCCCGTTACCTAATAACAATTCTTTTTAATGATTGAAAGAGACGTAGTCCTTTCAAGGCGGGCGGCATGTTGCGGCTTCAATTAATATTTGTACATATATATTCAATTTTGTTAGTGTTTATAATTTTTGTAAATATTCAATTTTGTTCGTATTTTTAGTTAGTCAACACTTTGTATTTTATTCTAGTTGTAGTCAATTTTAATGTATTTATTTCTGTAGGTATAGATAAATATTAGTTTCTTAGAATAGGTAATGCAGCAATTTTAACGAAGAGATCGGTCCAGGTAGGTCTCACAAAACCATTCATTAATGGAAAACCCAAGTCCGTCGCTACGTCATCACTTCGGAATGTGCAGATAATACCTTAGGGGTACGTAGCGACGGCGAAGGGGTAATGTGCACGATAGGCGTTGCCTATTTTGTGCCAACGTTATTTAAACAACGACAATTCAAACTTTTAGTATTCGATATTCAGCATTCAACATTCGATATTCAGCATTCTACATTCAACATTCAATCAAATCGACATTCAAAATTCAGCATTCATCTATCAATTCAAATCAATCAACAAGTATTCAATTATAAACCAACAATATTCAAATACAATCAAATAGTTAATAAGTGTACATAGTGTATTATATTGTACAAAATAAACAACAACCAAAAAAAAAGGTGATTTATTCATCAACAAAATCCGAAAGAATATATGGGGCAGTGAGCGAATACTGCAACCACCGAACACTGTCCCTTTTTACTCAGTACCTATTGGTAATACGTAATACCTTTATTCTTTTTAATTACTTTTACTACATTGCATTACTACTATTAATAAGTATGTTAATATTATTTAACATATTATCATAACCCTTATCAATCATAAAATCTTCGAATTAATCTACTTCTATTTCTAATTTATAATGCGTATTTGTTTTTTGAGAATGCAACAACTTTTTAATAAAATAGAAGAACCGCACATACGAATCAAATGCTAAAGCAAAATAATTTCTTAAACAAATCTTGAACTTTAAATGGGACAGGATTCTAAGGGATAATGCCGAGTCTCGTTACTATGGCAACGGGTTTATATGGCTACTTGTAACCTAAACAGAATACATTACTTGTCACCCGTGCCTCAACATTAACTCTATGTATATTGCATTAGTTGGACTTACGACCAAAATTGTCTTTAATAAAGCGAACTATGTAGTTCAATAAATAAAATAAAATTGTGAAGCACTCCAAGTGTTTGTTTAAAAAAGAATTTCAAAATATTTTACGAAGAGGTCCATCAATGCAATTCTTTTCATTGTGTTTCTTTATACTATTAGCATAAAATTTTTCCTAAAAGTGTTAGTATTGATATGCAAAACTTATGTAAGATAGTATTATTATCTACGAAAACTTCACTCAGTTTGTTCCTATACAACGAAAAACAAGAACGAAATTAATTTCTTGCTAAAAATAGCCGAATTTAGAAACTCCCACGTCGTTTAATCAGCGTTGTGGCAAAATTTGCTGTTTTTTTTTTAATAAAAAGGGATCAGACAGACGTTTTTAAATTAGTCTTTGAAAATCTGACTTACCCTTAAATATAAATAAAAACAAAAATAAAAAAATACCGACTCAATTTTATATTTGGAACCGCTTAATAGAGAACACAACCCAAAAGGTACATTTTGGGAAAAGTTACCTTTCCTACCCCCTAAAATTGTTTCTAAACCCATCTCTGAGTAACGAATGGCATACACTGAAGTGAGAATCTATCTCAACCACGTTCTGCATATTTAAATATTTACTTAACGAATAGCTCACTTTTTTAAACGCACTTTTCAGATAATAGTTAAACTTATTTAAAAACGAAAAAGCATAAAATTTAAATCCCCGAAGAATTATTTCGTTATTAAGTTGGGCCAGATTTTCTTTCCGTTTTGCTGTCTTCTTCAGCGATTAAATGAATTTTGTTCCATTAACTGTTGAGTGCTTTCAAGTATGTTTAAGGACGGTTAGGTGTCTGACACTATTGAACTTTACAGAATTATGCTGTGGACTTCATTAATTGCGACATATTTTTTAGTACTCTTTGAGATTTACTTTCGTGTTCGGATTCCGAAATGGAAATCTGCGAATTATCACTTACCTTGAAAAGAAAATACGTAATCCATTTGAAAGGCAAAAAGAGCCTGCCAGTGGAGTTTAACTTAATAAAAAAGTTTGTGAGAGCTTTTCGGAAACTTTATTTTAATTTTACTGATTGAGCGTATATATTTTTAATACTTATTTTAACTAATTCCTGTATATACTTTAATAAATAAATATCGTAAACATTTAATGATAGAAACTGGGAAAGTATTGAGTTAAAGGTAATGAACGAATATTTGTTTGCTGTTCTTAGGGGAAATCTTTGAAGTAGGTAGATATACAAATTCCTTCAGGGAACTTTTATAGAAATTTACTGAAAGAAAGATTTCTTTTTAACCATCGTACCTAATAGACGGGATGTTTCAAAAGTATTGTAGGTAGAATACACCACAAAGTTACTTATGAAATTAAAAAGAAATAACTGTTTAAAACTCAAATAAAGTAGGTAGAGGTAGCATATTTCTATTGCTAAAAGCTTTTTCCGGATCTTTATTCATCAATAGAACCCTTTGATATTACAAAAATGTTTCAAATTTGAAAAATACATATACAAACGAAAGAAACTTCTCAAATATATTGCAGATATATTTGGAATAAAAGGTAGAAGATGTGTTATTCGAATGTAACAATATCTTTCTCCCATACCTTTCCTTTCATTTTGTTATTCTTATGTAACAAATTAATCAGAATTTTCTCGAAAAATCCATTGTGATAAACTGATACTTTCGAGACATTCGAGACTTTCGATAAATAAATGTAAGAGTATCATCAAATGAGGCATCACCCTTTGAAAAATACGACGTGGTATACCTTTCTTTTCATAAATACATATAAATTAATAATAATGTAATGGAAGTTCAATAAATACAATTGGTATGGAACATAATAACCTTACCCTGGTTTAACGTTAACTCTGCCGAAAAGTATCGTGGCGTCAAAGTCCTCAACGAGCACTTGTTTGATAAGGTCATGTTCTCCCATCGATACACCTCCAGATGTAACGACAACATCGTTTTCATCAAACGCGAACGTGAGAACCGCCTTGACACTGTCGGGACTAAAATTAATAATACCTTAATTATACTTGGATCGAGTGCTTAATAAAACTCATTTAATGGAACAGTCATGGTACTGTTAAGTGTGAAAAAAGTGAACGATCACGTAACTATCCATACAGCACGTCGCAAGTTCGAATAAATAGCTGCCCTCCTGATGAACCAAGAAGGGGTCTTCTTGGAGCAGGGGTGGTTCGTAAAGCAGTGAGTAGTTACCTACCCTCAGTCGAATAGGTTAGGTTAGGTTACTTAGTTAACAGTTTGCTTCAATAGATCAATTACTTTTATACGTATTATCATTTTCAGTTTCTTTCAAAATCTTTGAAACAATATTTTATACATTTCCTAAATAGCCCAGGAATTGTATACATTTCCTAGGAATTGTATATAATTCCTAGATTTCATGCATTTTCGGTAACAAATATACCTGTTGTGCATCACGGTAAAATAGAAATCGTAAATAATCAAGTTGTTTGCTCTTGTACTCCTGACGTAACAATTCTAGTAGGGTTTGAATCGTCCACATTACTTGAACGTAACAGTACCTGTTGAATATGCAAGTTTGTTACTTCTTACTTGTCTTTTGCAATTCCTGCGTCTGACGCTTCGAATCCGTATTGCTTTAATAAGTTCAACAGGGTCAATTTATTGCTGTCCCGAATGTGACCAGGCTTAAGTTTTTCGTGTGGACTTTGAAGCTCGTTCCCAGTTGACACTACAGCAACACACGGCTTTCTATACGGAATTAAGGTGAAATTTATTTCATTGGTAGGTATATTAAAATTTATTAGCTGTAAATTGTTTGATGGCGACGATGAAGTCGCTAAATTTATTGAACTATGTACGATGAGTCAATTAAATGAAACTGATTTATTACAAGTGACTTTAAATGCCATCGGACCCTCTTAAAAGAAGATGTGTATGTCTGCGATGCTGATAAAGTTTTATATTGAAGAAAAGTGCATTTAATAGTCTACTAGAAATTAGAAGCTAAAGGTTAATTAAAGCCGTATTACGACCTGTAATGTAAGCAATAAAAATGAGTTTTGACCATGACCTTTGTCACCTATTGCGAACGACTGAATAATTAGAACTGCCAAACTGCATCGTACTATTCAAAACATTTTTAAATAGGTGAATTTAATTAATTCTGCGTGGTGTTTTTGAACAAATATATTAGCAATGTACGTAAGTACACAAAATTAGCCCATAAAATCGAAAACCTTTTCACGCACGATCCTGTTAATTTTGCTATGTTGGCAACACTTTATCTGACCTTTTTACGCGAATTAGCGAGCGGCTTTCGGGTTAATATTTACTTACCTTCTTTCCACATTCATAAGTACATAACTGTAGGGGCATTACTACAATCGTCCATTCTTATCGACGTTCTCATTAAACGTAGTGATGGTTTATCGGTATTTACTCTTAACGATTTTAATGATTGATTTGTGATTCAAGTACATGCAATAAGCAATTTTTTTTCATACTATTTCAAGAAGCAGGCCATTAACAAATACGATTCCTATCTAAACTATATCTATAATAAACACCAAGGGAAGAAAGTAAAAAGAAATATTCCCTTCTGGTGGTGGTGGCTGTTAAAACCACTGGCTCTAATGATTGTAGACATTGATTGTTCAAAAATATCAACGTTTTACTCTTTGTATAGATTCATGTGAACACTGTGATTTCTGATCAAAGTTATTAACAGTCTAAAAAAAACTACTTCTAGCAATGTGTAACACATTTTATTCACACGAAAATACCGTCCTGCTTTTAATAACAAAGAACTAACAGCGCATGTTTGTACTAAAGGCCTGCTCCGGTTAAATTAGGTCACATTGTAAAACTCGTGCAATTTCTATTGAATAGCAAACAAAACGCGTAGTTGCCTGAGTTACCTTCTACAAAATTGTAGGAGTTCTAGGAATTTCCCTTAAAATTTAAATTAAATTCCTTACTAATTCGTAGTGGTAGCAATTATTTACTCATCGTATGTAATTTAGTGTAAGATTATTACAAGTGTTTTTAAATTCTGACCAAATTCGACATACTACAGGACGATATCAGACCTCATGAAATATGTATCATAATTTAGATTTCTTTGTAAGATTTTACCTACCGGAAAACTGCTACAGTGTGATGCCCGACAGTTGCAAGGACTCCAATGTGACCAGCAGTCAGCAGAGCTCCTTTTTCGATTATAACGGAATTAACAGAAATATCACTTCCTATTGGTCTGTAACAGTAAAAATGAAAATCGGGTTTCAGTTTAAACTGAAAACATATAGCAGAGAGTATTTGCAGCACGAATTGCTTAATAATTTGTAATTTCCTTGAAGCTTTGTGTTTGAGTTGTATTATCTATAAAAAAGTACTCATAAATCACTCTCTGGTAGGTCGGACATTTCGTGACATGAACCGAAGAAAGGTAGAACACGAACACGAACAACAAACTTGACATACCTACCTACAATAATTTTACGGCAGGGTGTACATCACTATTAATCTTTTTTGCTTTATATACAAACATGCATAGAATATATAGAAACTGGACGATATTTTCACATTTATATCCATTATAAATGTTTGTTGACCAGTAGGGTCCATCAATTATAGTTTTTCTTTAGTAAGTACTTGTATACAAAAAGTATCGTAAGTTTCACGCAGTATTGTAGTTGTAGCTCTATCTTTTATTAAGTTTCGGGCCTTTTCCCACATTTAGTGGAATCTCGGTTTACACAATGCTATACATCTCCCAATCAACGAATGATTTGCGAGACTAGAGTCGTGTGTTGTGATCCCTTGTCTGAATTAGTCTCGCAGCTAACTTCATACTATCGAATTTTCCTCGGGTGTGCTCGCGCACCTTCCGTTGCATGCTCAAAAACTGGCTAGTTCAGCTTCTGCACCGTGTATATGAAACGATAAGTTGTCCTTGTTTATTAAGTGATACAAAAGTGATTCAAAAATAAAGTACAGTTTGAAAAAGTAAGGCATAAACAAATGCGTTTTACGTGTGACCATGACATTATTAACTGCACTAAGTATAGATCGTTGCTAATAAGTTTATGTAAAATACGCGATTCCAACTGGTATCCGAGTCTGAGTAAGTCATAGTATTATAATATAATTTATTTATGCATTGCGGGCGTTGTAAATGAGCTACGCTTGTTATTTCCACCAGTTGTATCATTTTATGTTGTACCGAATCGTAAATTTTAATTCGTTAAAGCCAGACGAAGCCACAGTTAAACACAAAATACCGCAAACACAGAGACATACAAGGCGGATTTAATTGGACATTATAAACTCACGTTAGGAAATGACATATTTGAATTAATTGAACGTAATTAGTGTAATTGTTTATTCATGAACCTGCATTAACGTTAAGAAAAAGAGAAAACTGTCAAAGGAAAGAAAAAATCGAATGTCACCACCGTTACTCTATTGCAACATGTAACTCATTAGAAATCTTACATTGTGGTTAGCATTCAAATTACAGTAAAATATCCTGAGGTTTGCTGAATTGTGCTAGTTTGTGATCTAATGTGCTGATTTGTTCTTACCTTTCATAATTTCAAATGACGTTATGTGTAAAATTTTTTATCTACTTTACCCCTGTCCGCCAACCCTTTGGCCCGTCCTTCGACAATTCAATTAAGTACATTAGGGTCTACATTTCTATTGAAGTGTTTCGATGATAGGAATAAAATGTAAACTCTTTCAGCGTTCTCAATGTAGCTCTTTTAATCATTGACGCCTACTTTAAAATTATTGTACGGACGAAATCTCTTTCGATGTTTTTATGAAAATCACTGTTTTTTTATCATCGGCTCTAACAATTTTGCTGGGTTTATTTTGGAAATGAAAATGAAAAATTAATGATTTTTTTATGTGTTTGCACAGTAATAAAAGGTAAGGATTCCAATTTATTACCACTGAAACTTGGATAATAAACTAAAAGATTTGGAATCACTTGATTTGTTCGTTCGTAACACCCGAGCTGGTATTTCTTCCATTTTATTCATTGTTGTTTTTATGCGAGCTTATGAAAGAGAAACTTCTGATGAATACCAAGAAGAAAATTGGGTTTGATGTGGTGTACATTTTTATTCCATTTAACGTTGAATAAAACAGGTCATGTGATACTTCATGATTTATATATTATTAAAATATTCACTCGCCACATAATTAAATAGTTTAATTGCTTAATAATCGTTAATAAAAGATTCAATTGGAACTCTCGATAGGCATTTATATTGAGTGTTGATTTAGTTATCTTATTAACTTAACATGAAGTTGAAGATGAAATTGATAAAATAAACGGTCGACTGCGTCACTGCTCATTATGGAAATTGGTCCCTTGTTCTGGTTCTCTCTTTACCATCGAAATTCGTTGGTAAAGTGAATAATAGATACACAGCACATTTTCTACCTTTTCTACTTCATTATATTCATGTATTCAATAATTTATATCATTGACGATACATTCTTTCTTAATTCCTTCAATCATTTCAACATACCGAATATCTTGTCCAGGTCTTGGAGCTACTTTAATTTTCACTTCCATCTCAATTGATCCATCGTCTGAAGCTTTAATTAGATCTGTGTCTTCCACTTGTACTACGGCATCAGCTCCCAAGGGCAACGGAGCCCCTGTGCTGATTCTTATCACTTCTCCTGGTTGAAGTGGTTGATCTACAGGCTAAATTAAAGAAACTACCCTTAGTAAAGGAATAAATACTTATGTAAACAAGTTATAAATAGTTTTATTGCTATTTCAAAATCATCGACTATTATTTATCGAATTTAAAGGCGAATGAATTAATAGTTTTTTATTCTTTCGTCTCTTAATAAACCATTATTTGGATTTTCTGTATTTCATAAATTTTTTATTTACAAAGAATCAGTTGATGTTTAAAGATTGAAAATTCTTCGCCCACGGAAAATCAAATTTATTATTTATTCGTTACTTCTTAACGTAAACAACTAAAAAAAAGTCTTTTCCAAATGGATCGTTATTTTTCTTTTGCACACTTTTACATCACGATGAAGTGAACGAAGATTTTTATAATTAGATTACAAAAAACTGTTTTTTTTTACAAGACGGTTCGTACTGTTCTGATTTACTATACCACCATAGTCCACACATATTTGGTATTTACGAAATTAGTCTATCAATATTCCAATTATTATCATCAGTTATTCATGCAGGCGAAAAATGATTTTTATTACACGTGATTTGAGTGGGTATTTCAGGAGATATAAACGTGTTTTAGATTTGTTTATTAGATGTAAATAAAGAAGTTAATATTGAGTAATATCGTAATAACGAGCCGAGGGTTTGCTATTGGTTCTACATGGGCGAACCTTTCGAAAAAAGATATTATTAAAAGTTTTATTGGATACTATATCAATATTTTTATAATTCTGATAACAATATTTCACAAATAAACCAAGTTTTACTATATTGTAGAACCGGACGTAATCTGTTTGTAATAACGGAAAACGAGGACGCAAACCAACCACATGATTATAGTTTTGTACGCAATACAACTACAGTTTATCAAAACAACATAAATACATATGTATACCAATGCCTACAATTTATAGATCACAAAACATGCAATTTTACAACTGCGAGGCCTTGTCCTTGTTGAGGATTTTTAATTAAGTAAGTCGCGTGTTTAGATTATACAAACATGAAAAGTGCTTTTGTCCTTATTATTACCAGTAGTAAGATACCAAATAGTAGATATTTTAAACCGACTTCAAAGAAGAAGGTTTTCACTTCGACTGTATATTTTTTTAATTTCTTTTTTGTTACACAATTTATTTCCGATTGTGAATTGATTCTAAATATTCTTTTCTTCACTTCTATGCTCGCGAACGGTTAATTTAGAGATTCGAAAAGGTTGTTAAAGGTGTATGTTTGGAGCGCGGCGTTGTACGGGTGCGAAACATGGACAGTGGGTGCGGCGGAAAAGAAAGGATTAGAAGCGGTCGAAATGTGATGTTATAGGCGAATGATGAGGATAACGTGGGTAGAAAAGGTTAGAAATGAAGAGGTATTGGAAAGAATAGGAGAACAGAGGACTCTACGGAAGTCAATGAAAAATAGGCGAGATAGGTTGGCAGGACACCTTCTCAGGCATGAAGGTCTAGTCAGAGACATATTAGAGGCAGAAACGGGAATTAACAGGGGTAGAGGTAGACCTAGGTTAGATTACTGTTCACAAATAGTTAAGGATGTGGGTTGGTCTAGTTTTAGGGAAATGCGAAGTTTAGCTCAGGATAGGAAAGAGGACTGACGACCTTATGTTGACGATGATGATTCTTTTCTTATTGAATAGGCTACAGGTAGGTATATGTTAAGGGCGAAGAATATATTCCACCTCTAATAAGGGCGGAAAATTAGGAATTCAAGGCTATTTGCTTAGTGTGTTGGTAAACTTCCCAATCTAGAAGCGAAACGTTGGTCTAATTTGCGAATAAACCCAAGAATATTGATCAGAAAGAGTTCGGAGTTTTCGTTTAAATTAAAATTTAACTTTTAATTTACGAAATACCAAACAGGCAATGTTACGAAGTAGGTTATTATTTTATATTTGAAAAATTTTTAGAAGCAAGCATGCGTAAACAGAAGGAAGGTGTGCTCTAAGTTGTGAGTAATTCCATTAAAAGATAATTTGGTTTGGTATTTGTTGTTAGCTTCTTTTGTTTTACAATTTTCAAGTACCTACGTAATCAATATTGATGCCTTTTACCTTGTCCCCGGCTGCTGCCTCCTCCCTGACATTCCTAATGCCTTCTTTGTCGGAACTGATGACAGCGTAACCGTCTTTAATAGAGGCAGGAAACGGAGGCACGGGGTCCTTGGCGTAAACATTTTCAGCCAGTACTCGACCTAGCGATTCCGCAATATCTACGTTTTCTGTTTCCCTAGTCGCGGAAATCTCTTTAAGAATCAGGTCAATGGCATGGGCCACTTCCACCATTGGATACGGCGACACGCGACTCCTTTGAGCAACCAAGTTTGTTTTTACCTTGAGAAAAGATTAGATTAGAATATTAAACAGAAATTAAGACCAATAATACGTAGGGTAACCGCGGATATGCGTCATAATAAAAAGATCAATAATCTATCTATATTAAGAATGATGATGAGGCAAATAAATAAAGAAAATTGAGAATTTAAACTTAAATATTAGATGTTTTCATTGTTTTCAAACACAAATGAATTGATTTCAAAAGTTTATATTGGCAACTTGGCCTTCTCAATTCGCCCTTGGTAACATTAGAATCTTGAAAATGATCTTAATAATGAATAAAACAAAGACAACAATGATGGACTTTGCCATTTTTGTCAATTTTAAGTATCATGGTGCCTATAGCTTTTCTCTTGATTTCTCCGTATAGGTAACCCAAAAATAAAAAGTAGTTTGAGTATACAGTTACAATGAAACCATATCATTAAATCGAGTCCAACATATTATTAAATGAAAAATTCGTTTTGAAATTACCTTGCTGGGAGATACAGATCGTCGACCTTGTAGACGACCGTGAAAATCAGAAACAAGATTTTCTTCGTTTTTCAAAAGGGCCACAGCATGTGGAATAACGTTTTTGATAAAACCGAAACATTCTCCTACGGCTTTGGTACTGCCTGGGAAATTAATAATGAGCGTATTATTTCTAATTCCAGTGACTGAACGGGACAACATTGCCATATCAGTGATTTCCAGGCTCTTGCACAATATAGCTAACGATATTCCTGGAACCTCTCGCTCAATAACGCTCTTTGTAGCTTCAGGGGTAACGTCTCGGGGCGAAAGTCCTGTGCCCCCTACTGTAAAGATTACATCGCTTCTGTTATGAGAAGACCATTTCTTAAGGAAATCTTTTATTTGAGACTTTTCATCCGGTAAAATTTCAACATGTTCTATTTTGCTAGTATTTCCAAAATGATTGTTAATTAAGGACATTAACTCAGGACCGGCTTCATCGTCTTTTTCTCCTTTAGAACATGAATCGCTCACTGCAAAAAATAAGAAATCTTTTCATATTTATTTATATTCCTTTATAAACACTTCTGATTATCGAATGTTTACTCAATAATCGGTTTTTACTAGGTATACTTATGAATTGCCTACGTAGGTATTACATCTACTGATAACTTACCTGTTAAGATGACAAAACGTATCATGTCCATGTCCACAAACCTTAAAACGTAAAACAAATAAGTAAGACAGTACTAACAATAAATTTACATGTTTGTTTGTGAGCAATATTTCTTCTTATCATTCAATACAAAAATATTTTTACGACCTCAGACGAAGATAAAGCTTTATCATTATTACGATACTTTGTAGAAGAGTACTGAGTTTTTATAAAAATTACTGAAAAACAGAATTATTATCACTATTTATTAGAGATGGGACGCGTGTCCGGTTTGGATCCAGTACTTTTTTAGTGATCCAGCGTCTGGTTAAAGACAATCCGCTTAAAAAGGAGTAATAAGTGATTACTTGTTTTGTACGCTAAAAGTGAGTGTCGGTTACCTGGCAAAATCATTATATCTGAGACATCTTTACTATTTAAACATATTTTAGTAATTCAATAACCTATTAAGGTTTTCTGCAAAATATGAATAATTCTGTAAACATACATATATGAAGTAGCACTTAAAAGTATCTAAATCATCGTAGTAATACTTGGTTGTGAAATTGCCTTTTGTTATCTACTTGCTACTAGACAAATAATACTATCTATACAGTTAAAATAACTTCAAGCGATACAGGGCTAAATACGTTAATTGTGACATAGAGGAAAATGTAATTACTTATCAAAAAAGACGAGATAAGACGTGTTTTTATACCTACAGTATAGGTGAATTGAGAATCGAATCAAGGAATGGCATCATCTCTTCAAAAATGCGACGTGATACTTATAAACGAATTCGTACAAATTTGTTCAAAAGATTTTGAGAATTCGCTTAGTTTCACAGCTTTCACAGAGGCATTAGGCGATGATATTCCACACATTCATTGAATTATATGCCTTTTCCATGGTGGGATATAAAAAGAAAAACATTTTACCTTAATCTGTATACGTATGTGATAGGCAAGAGGAAACAAATAAAAAAAGTCCTGCATTTAAGTTAACCGTTTTTTTTAGAATGATAGAAATATTGTAGTAGAAATAGTCGACACACTTCTAGAACATTTTTCATGTAAAGCGTTTTCGAAGTGTCATAAATCTTTTCGTTCATTTACTTAATTAATTTTCCACAACCTTCTCCTGAATATAAATCACTGCTTTACGTATTTTACATAACGAAACGATCATTATCTACGTTTCTATAATAAATAACTTAGCAGATAATCTTAGGGATATTGATCAGAAACTGGAAACTTGTAATTTATGCATTAATTCCACCCTTTCCAACAACATAAGGAAGTTTCAAAATCCATCAGGATTTATTGAAGTTTTCGTTAATATCATTCATGGACAGCACACAAAATGCGTTCATAGTATGATAAGTACTAATATATTTTCTAAAAAGTGTCGGAATTGCCGCGTACCGGATCCAAACTGTGTATCCGGCCTATCTATAAAAATAATTAATCGATTTATCTATGGATGGTTTCAGGAAGCGTATATATGTAGATACATAGTTGTAAAGGAAAATTAGATGCCTGATAGCTCTGATTAAAACGTTTAATAAATGAATGAAAATATCCCAAACATTTACAAATGGAAAAAAAATCACAATCAATGTATCTTCCTGGTTATGCTAATAGGCTAATAACGTTTCTGTGTCAATACCGCAATGTTTTTGTAGGACAGTTTGCTACGAGCCAACATAAGAAGATTATCATTTGACGAAACAAATTAGGAATATCCGGCTTAACATCACAATTCAATAAATCAGATACCTACATATATAATTTCTGTTTACATTTTTTACACTATTATATTATGAATTGTAATTTATGATTTTTGAATGTATAAATATAATAATAGATAATTTATGGGTAGTAATTTTAATACGAGTTGGGCACAGTTTCAAGAACTAGAATTAAAATAAAATGCTTGTTCTCTTGTTATTATATTAATGAAATTATGTATTTACATAAAAGTCTAAAACTGCTAACTTACGGTAACATATGTATGTGTAGACTACATTATTTAGGGTGATGTAAAACAAGGTCATATATTCATAAATTAATGTACCTAATATACAAAAATTGTCTGAATTTATAGGTCAGAGATGTTTAGCCTTTTAGTTAGACAATTTTATTGACGTTATTTTTCTAGACAGGTTCAAATTATGAGTTGTTCTTGTCTGGAACTACGATGTGCTAAGGAAAATACTGAATTGTATTTTGTGTTTTTCGTGGTTCACGATTTTACAGGTTTTCGTGTAAATGTAATTGAAACAGGAAGCGCTTGTTTCAATTTTTAAGGCGAAACACCGAGTACAGGAAATCCGAATCATATTGTCATGGTAAATTGGTATTTAAAAACAAACATACACGACACTTTATAAAGAAAATATTTAATTTCATATTAAATAAATATTTACAATATAATGTAAATATTTACATTTTTACTACAAATCGTAAAACTAGAACATCTATTTACTTTACTAATAGTTCGTTGCACATAAAATATTAATCACATTAAATAATGAATGAAAAAAAAAATTGTCACTGATAGATGAGAATAAGAATTAAGAATATTTTCCCTTAAGAAGATATCGTTATTGAAAGAATCTTTAAACTCGTCACTAAAGAACGGCCTAAATTTCAACATAAACTTCTGCAATAATTCGTGTTATTAACGAAAAACGAAATATTCTAGAATACTGTTATTGAAAACTTGCTTCGAAAACCATAAATTTTATTATTAACGATGATGCTTAATTCAAATTATGTTCATGCATAATTATTTTTTGACAGTAAGTTTTGCCCAAAATGATATATTAACGTTTTATGAAAGGTACTTAACATTTCTACTTCCCGTAAATCTTCGCTTAAATAGAATACCTCTGAAAATAGACAAAAACGAAGACAGTTGTTGAGTCATTTCTTATACACAAACCGAGAATATCAACAAAAAGATGGAATTTCATACATAGATCTGCTATTTAAATTTGATGAGCAATTGGATGTTTTTGAAGGAAAGATTTGAACAAATTTCGAAGCTACAAGTGTAGTTTTGGTGTTTTCGAAGATGCGCTATCACTATCGAATGAAAATAAGGACACTAAAATTTTTAAACTGGCTGTGAAAGTGTAAATCAGGGATGTATTTTTCCTCGTTTAACAAAGATTTACAATAGGAATAGGTACTGTTGAAATTTAGCAAATTATAGCAAAAATACGGGTGCGAATCATGGACAGTGGGAGCGGCGGAAAAGAAAAGGTTAGAAGCCTTCGACAGGGGCGGCCTTAGCCATCGAGAACTTCTGGGCGGGTAAATTTTTGCGAGGCCCTCGTCGTTGTGGAATTAGTTTTAATGATGATACTTGACGAGAAATTCAAAGTTATTCATAAATAAGTTTAGAGTCTTAAAATTGTTTATTGGAAATTAAAAAAAACTTAATAAAAGACAGCAAATTTGCGGCTTTTTTTAAGACTATTAAGAANAGATTACACATATCCTATTCAAAATTTATTATTATTTAAGTTCAGTTTTATCCTCAAGTACAAACGATTATACGATTTGAATAAAAAATAAGAAACATTCAAAACCATTTCATTGTAATTTCCTTGTATACGTGAAAATTGTCGAGCACATTAAATTCAATGAAGTTTTCGCTTTTATGCAACGTAACATATTTTATGGCGAATGTTCGTCTGACACAATCGAGGTTATTCTTTTTTATATATTACAACTCAGCAGAACTGAAAGAGCGATGGATATAGGCTGACACCACTGTTTTATTGTGTTATGTATAGAAGGCAAAGTCTGCTATCAGTTGGCCGGTTATCAACCCCTAACCGCCCGAACCTTCATTTATTATTTCATGTTGAGATAGCTTTAGCATCGTTTGCATTTATCGATTGGACTATTTTTGGGGGGACTTCAAACTGCCAATGATCCTCGGGTAGAGCAGTGAAATCAACAAAAAATCAATATTTGGTGTTACCGTCATCGCTGTTTATTGCGTAGGAATGAGAACGTCGATGAACTTCTCAGAAAGCTGATATTTAGTACAATAGATCGGATAATGCGTTGTAATGTTCACATCGAAAGAGAGAACGAGAAATAGAGCAAAAGAGGGATAAAACAGTACTCCTTAAAAGGTTAATAACTTAAAAGTTAATGGACTAGTTTCTATTGTCCCTTCTTGTACGTGTTTTTCTTTTATTGTTCATGAGTAGAATTTCCAAAGGCTTACTTTAAGTAAAATAATTTTCAGATGTTTTTCTATCTCGCTTTTATTTTAATCGATTTGCTCATTATTTTTAGTGTGATTGATTTCTATGCTTTTCCTCTCCATGTCTCCATGAGTTTTCACCACTAGTACACAATCACTAAATCGCTTTACGTTACTTGTAAATGTGGAAAATCCAGTGTTCTGCACTGTCTCGATTAGCTTTCCTAAATATAGTTACGTAAGCTAAAAGAGATAAAATGTTAAACATTTACAAAACACCTATTTATCACATGTCGATGTTCGCTATGTAAAAGCTGAAAATACAAGGTGTATTGAACCAAATATACATGGAACCTATATAAAAATTTATAGGGATACTTATTACAGACTCGGAGACATACAGATACATGTATCTATTACGAACATCATGTTTTATTTCAAGGACTCGTCTGCTGAAACGCTAATTACGCAAAATGTTTACTGTATTGCTACGAGTCTGCTGCTTCATCAGGACCATTATGTACCATGATATCAATCGTTAAGTATTGTAATGTTTTTTTATTCTTAACACATGTATCCTAGTTCCGGTGCGTTGTTATTTCATTCAATACGTCGACATGTTAGACATATCTTACAGAATAATTCATTCTGCTTTGAAAGTGTCGCTTAACGTCTGTTTACCAATTCTGCTTGCAGAAGCATTAACTTTGTAAACTTGGGTTAAGTAACTTGTAGAAGGTCATTTTTTAGTCGTTATTTGTAAAGATTCGATGTAGGTAAAAGATTAACCCTTTTACAGTAGGCGACTTCGTCATACTGTTGTTATTTAAATAAACAGGAAGTTCCTTTTTGATGTAGTCATTTTGAGAAATAAAACAAGAATTCAAAGGGTTTACGTTTATATTTGATACAACAATTAAATCCTATTACACGAAGAACTATTTAATTTAGTAAGAAGTAGTTAGGTAATATTTATGTCTAGAACGCTTAAAATCAAAAATAATATTAAATAATATAAATATTCCCTGTTTTTACATTACAAGCTTAAAACAAATCTTAAACAAACTTATTTGTTTTTAATCTTTTAAAACATTTATTATTAACGAAACGCATACAGAAATATTTGATGCAACGAAGTGCACCCTTCAGAGCATCGCGGGTTACTAGCTCAGGAATGCGTAACCTATTGTTATTAACGGCCTCGATGCATCCGATTGGCTATTACGATGGCGGCCATCATGCCGATCATTGAAACTAGGTCAAGTGCACTTAAAGGAATGTAGAGGTAAACAAAAGTAGTCGCCACCTGATAAAATTAATGCAGGGATATCTTTTAAAAGGCATAACTTCATTATTTCTTAACCGATTTAGGTATGGTTTTTACTAAAATTTAGCAAATTTATAACTGCATAAAGCTAAGTCGATTAAATTGCAATCACAAGCAACTGTAACGGCTAATTATTGAGCAAATCGATGTAAAATATTGGTTTACTCTCTACGGCGTAAGATAAGAAAAAATATAAATATTTTGCATTTGAATAATGGACTATCGTTTAGGGAGGACGGACTACTTCCTCATGCATACTTGAAATACCTAAGAAAATGAAATGTACATTCTTGGAGTAGGTGGGGAAAATGGACTTAATACCTTCGAAAATTGCAAAAGTACGTATGTATTCAATATTGACCAATACATAAACGGGCAACTGAAGATGATCCCATGCACAAGGGAAATACAATACAGAACTCCTGTTGCCCAAATCCAGAATTTATTGATCTTTTTTTTTCGAAAGGTTCATGAACTACGAAATTCGCAACAGCAGACATTTTATCTCCTCGTAATAGGGTAGAATTGGTCAATTACCACAAATACTCTTTTCTTTATTTTGTGCTACGAATTTCCTTTTTCTTGTCGGCTTTCTTCCTCTATAGATTCAGTGTGATATACATAGTTTATAGTGAAGTATTACACACTAGACAGCATAAATTCCTGCAAAAAGTTTAAAGGTGCTTTGTCATTTGTTCTAAAATTTCACTTAGAATTCAAAATGTAGTTTGCATTTTGTATATTTAGCATTTTCGATATATGTATACTAATAGTAATTGTTAATACGAACTTAACGACAATATCAGGAAATAATATTTCTATTTTATAGAATTTTGTTTTTCTGTTTTCTTATGTAACCACTTACGTGCCAGTTTGATGAAAAACATATTCTAAAAAAATCCCAATGAATAAATGGTTATATTATCATAACCAATGCTTATATATTCGCTAGAATGCATTATAATAAGCGAAAGGTTTTAAAGTTTTACTGGAGAACATTCCGTGGATTGAATTTGTAAAATTAAAGTATTTACGAGTGTTTGTGTAATTTTGCTGTTTGTTGAGATGGAAGGTATGCATATGCATGCAAATTCTTCTTATTAATTAAAATTCGGTGTTAAAGGGGCAGTTATAACTACAACAGTTCTTGACCACATTCTTCATTGCTTTTTAGACGTTTAATAAGTTGAATCGCTAACGATTTGAATACAACGTTAGAAAATGCAATGAAAAGTCTAGGGTAATAAATATACCCCTAAGTGAAAATGCCTTTTCACTTAGTAAAAAGTAATTTAATTAGATGCTCAAGCCAGTTTGACAACATTGATTAACATGCAACCGAACGTAAAGCAACTGAATAATGGGCAAAGGTATTAAGTGGAAGAATTATCAGGCCATTTAAGAGACAGTTTCCACTTAATTGGTTTGATATATTGACTAAGCAAACTGTTCAATACTCATTCGGTTCTGATTAATAAGTGTCCATTATAAAGATATTGCTTTTACGTTTCGGCTTGGCCATTTTAGGATATTCGAAACTAATAGTTCGACGACTATATCATAACAAAACAATTTCTTTTCTTTCCTATGATCGTAACGTTTATATGATACAGAATAGAATTTTGGAGTTTTTCGATGTATAGGGTTGTTCGGATAGTCATTTCGTTTTTTTTTGTGAAAATGAAAGACAGTTTTCGTATAATAAACAAATACTTTATTAAATTATATATTGACCGTTCTGGTCCAACACCTTTTGCCATCTTTCTGGTAGTAGCATAATTCCACGCTCATAAAATTTTTGGTCTTTGCTGGCAAAAACTGATCGAGGAGGTTTTTGACCTCCTCATTTGAGGTGAAGGTTTTACCGTCTAAAAAATTTTTGAGTGACCGAAACAAATAATAATCCGATGATGCCAGGTCTGGAGAATATGGTGGGTGTAGCATTGTATCCCATTCAAGCTGTAAAAGCTTTTGGCGAGTGAGCAAACTTGTGTGAGGTCTCGCGTTGTCTTTGTGAAACACTACACCTTTCCTGTTGATTAGTTCTGACCTTTTCTGTTGAAGTGCATCATTCAGTTTGTCCAGCTGATGACAGTAGACTTCCGAATTAATCGTTGTACTATCCGGTAAAAGCTAAAAAAAAACGATTCCTTTAAAATCCCACCAAACAGACAGCATCACCTTTTTTTGGTGAATATCGGCTTTGGAAATGGTTTGAGCCGGTTCATCTTTTTTGCTCCATGACCTCTTGCGTTTGACGTTGTTGTATACAATCCATTTTTCGTCCCCAGTGATGATGCGCTTCAAAAACGGATCATTTTCGTGACGTTTGAGAAGCGAATCGTAGACGTCAATGCGGCGACACAGATTTCTCTCTGTGAGAACATGGGGAACCCATATATCGAGCTTCGAGGATAATCCCAGGCCTTTCAAGTGGTCATAAATTGTTGAATTTGATAAATTTAACCTCAATCCGATCTCACGTGTTGTTATTCGCCGGTTCACATCAACTAATGCCTTTATCGCGTCTTTATCAGCTTCAACCGGCCTTCCCGAACGTGGTGCATCTTCGACATCAAAATTGCCGGATCGAAATTTAGCGAACCAGTTGTGGCACTGGCGTACTGTCAACACACCTTCTCCATACACATCAGTCAATTTCTTTCTGGCTTGAACAGCATTTTTACCCTTTCTGTAGTAAAACAGTAAGATATGTCGAAAATGCTGCTTATCGCTCTCCATATTTAAAAGGGCACCAACCAAAAACTACTGCGTAGAATTAATTGGAATTTTTCACGCACAAGCCTTGCTATATGAGCTCTCAAAGCATATAAAAATTATACGGCTTAATTGTGAAGTTGGGTGCAAAAGAATACAATTAAATCCTCTGTCGAGAAAAAACGAAATGACTTTCCGAACAACCCGATAGGTACCCTAAGCTAGTTCAGTTACTCCAAAAAGTGCTGTTTACATTTCTACAAAAGGACGAAGAAAGGAATGTATGTAATTTATATTCGCTTAATATAACATTAGTACCTATATACATGAGATACAATGAGGTACTTGTATGCAGCTTGCATTTTATTTGAAATAATTGTCCCTACCACACGTTACGTGCTTTGTAAGTAGTTAGAGATGAATCAATTATTAGAATCACAATCGACAGAAACTAGTGCGTAACTTAGCAAGTTGAAGTTCTTTTATGTATGTCGCCAATATGGTTCAGTTTAATTGCAAACTACTGAAACTTGTCGTTTCAATTTACGTTTTGTCCCGTTTTTTCGTAAGTTTCCTCGTCGTCAAAGCCAAAAATTGCGAGAATGTCGACGTTCGAGTGAACTTGAGTAATTTTGAAAATCTTCGTGAGTGCAAAGTAATTTTCGGATCGTTGTATATAGTTTTGTTCGAGATGTCTACACCGAAAGACTTTGAAAATCTCACTTTTCCCGACTTGGTCGAAGTCAAAAATTATGTTATTATTTACCGGGTTTTTGGTCTAACTTCAATTGGGAAACTATTACCAAATCTTTCGATTATTAGAGGAAACACTTTAATTCGAGATTATTCATTAGTTATATTCGATCTCCAAAATCTAAAGGAAGTAAGTAAAACAATTTTACTTTTGATAAGTTATGTATTAGGTATTTATAATTAATTACACCTACATTTATTTCATACTGTTCATATTTTGCTTATTCATATATATATACAAGGTACACACATACTTTTTAATTTTTTATTTTCCAATTCGGCAAACGATTATTGATAAAATTGAATCAATTAAATAGATTACGTATTCGTAAGCTATTTTAGAAAGACTAGCAACCAATTACTTAAAACAGTACATGAATTGCAATGCAGAACCCCCGAATCGTTTTTATTCTATTAGATGGTAGATGGAGTGTTACCGTCTTACGTGGTTTTACATACTCCATCACTCATACGAGGGCTACTAACCGTTTGCCAGGGTGTGGTCGTGACAGTTGAGTAGGTACCTACGTAGGTGGGTAGACGTGGTACATCTCATATTTGGTGAAGTGGTGTTGAAATGATATATTTCTTATTTTATTCTATTTTATTTTATTTATCTACGTTTATGTATAACTATTGTTTTGTTAAATATTTCAATATATGTCAATAAATGTAATAAGAATTTTTACAATTTCGGAGACTCGTCCACGACGTGAACATATTAATATTACCCGATAAATAAGAAAATTGATTAAATCTGATCCAACGATGGACAATAGGGATAAATAAACATTGCGATAAAAGTGGAAAAGTGATTGATGACTGTAGACGAAGAATATTATGCAAAGTAACATGCAAACGGTGTTTGAAGAATAAAAACGAATGTAGATGTATCTTTAAGAGAAAATTACCACCAAAGATTGTACTGGTCAAAATTTTATTATTATTTATTAATGCAGTCGACGAAGGTTTGTTGAAAAATAGACCGATAGTAGGCAGTCACTCCATTTGAAGGTTGGGTGGTGCTAGGCTCATTAAAAGGGAAGATATTTAGGATTTTCCGAGAACAAGAACTATCAATTCTGATACTAATGAGCCTAGAAAATTTACTGGACTCGATTCTACGAAAACAACGATCACGAAGGAGACCATCAATTGCTTGATGAAGCAATGGAAGATTCTGGGCAATCCTTAACGAATAATTAGAAGTACTGCAGTTACTTCAGTAGAACCTCATTGCATTGACTAAGGAATTGATTGAAAATGTGTTAATATCAACGCAACTTCACATTGACCACTCAAGACATGTTAACGACATAACTTTTAGATCTTGAGTAGAGTCAAAATTGAAGAATGGAGAAAGAAAAAATTAAAAGAGTTTAATCCAAAGACGAGTAGTTGACAACATCAACAAGAGGGAAGACGATTACTTGTTCAAGGTATAACAAAAAACAAAAGAACTTGCAATTTAAGACGCAAACGCCTTTACCAGTTTATGGAGCCAACAAAGATCTTGCCACCGTAAAATGGACTCGATTGGGGCCATTAATTAAAGTTATTAGAAAATTCCTTGGACCACACATAATTATAGAGATTCGATATTGTGATGTTAAGCATCCATGAAGGACCTATGCGCGCTTCGGTTTGTAGAGAATTTGTTAAACCGCGGATCGCCGCTGATTTTGATTCCAAGACGAATTTGAGAATAGGTCGTGCCCAACCACAATGAATAGGACTATGGCAACCGGTGGTTGTATATTCATATGCTTTTTTGTTTTATTTTAATTATTAATGTAATGTAATGTGGAAGTCATTAAGAAATAGGCGGGATGGGTTGGTAGACCACCTTCTCAGGCATGAAGGGATAGTTGGAGACATATTAGAAGCACAAACAGGAGGTAAGAGGAGCAGAGCGGTAGACTTGGACTACCTTAGTTCACAAATGGTTAAGGATGTGGGTAGCTCAGAATAGGAGGTGCGTGTCCAATCAGTCTTGAGACTGACGACCCCATGATGATGATGATGACGAAATGTAAGAAAGCTTCCTGCTGTAATATACGACAGTTGACACGAAATTTTTGATGTTCCCCTTATATGGAAGAGGACTACCTTCCGCACTTACCCAAAAAAGGCCCACTATTGAACATGCGACCGTCACCGGCGCGTCGGCCCACTACGATGAACCGTAGAAAAAAACAAGTGACGTATCAGCTGTACGTATATACATGTTTAGTTCACGGTGTAAAGCAATTCAGGCGGCTGTTCGCGTTCGCTGTCGGTGAAGCACGATCGTCATCGTCGTTTGCTTTCGTGATGGTAGAAACCGAAAGTAAATAAACGTTACGGTTGTACGATAACAAACGTCAGTTTTCGGATTTGTTATGTTCTTTATATATGCTATTGTTTCAATAACTTACCTGCCGAGTTTTCTCGCTTCAAGTTGATTCTAAAATAATACGGTAGCTGATAGACCTACGCGGCCGCGGATTGTTCGATATCGGAAGGCCAATATTACCGACAAAGATGGACGCTATAAGGAGAGAAGAGGAGTAAGCTCACGCGTGTAGCAAGTCGCGATCAAGTCACAGTCTGGACTCGCGATTGTCAGTTACCCGCGGAATCCAGACCGGGTAAGATGTCTGCGACGTTGCCTAATGTAACGTGAAACATGCCACGCGTGTGCTTCGCTTTGGCCGTGCTGGTGCTAGTGAATTTTATCGAAGGGAGCAGTGATTCTGTTTACTGCTTGGATATGGACATTAGAGTTAGTGTAACTAGTTTCGAAGCACTACGCGGGTGCAAAGTTATTGTCGGAAATCTCCAGATTGTGCTTTATGAACTAGCAACGTCGAAGGATTTCGAAAATTTAACTTTTCCTGAATTGGTCGAAGTGAAGGGCTATGTGCTTTTCTACAGAGTATATGGATTACAATCGTTAAGCAAACTTTTTCCAAATCTCTCTATCATAAGAGGCAACACGCTCCTTAGGGATTATTCGCTAATATTTTTTGAGATGCCAGACTTGATGGAGGTACATGATATAGCCATTTAACACCCTCGCATTAATTTTCAAACTTTTTTGATTTGATTATTATTAATACCCATCAGTACAAGGTTATAAAAAGTTTAAAAGGCTTTTTGTACGCTTCAATAAAATCGTTTGACAGTAGCAGGAATTGAAAGTAATTAATCAAATCATTCCGCTTCATCACAACTTGCTACGATTCGCGATTACTTCAGACTATTTATTATTTCTATTTGTTCGGACGATAAGCAATTTTCAAATATAAAGAAACAGCGAGGGATATTATTGCGAGCCTGTAATAAGTAATTTTTTGTTTTGTTTCACCTGGCTTGAGCCTCTTCTTTTGCGCACCTGGGATTTCAAAGAAATACGATCCGCAGTGAAATTATGATTACTCATTCCATGTATCGATATTGCGAGTTCAATGAACGGAGCGAAAACTTAAAAATAAAGTTATGAAGGAAACATTTACAGAAGGTACCTACGGCAAAAATATCGACAGAAAATAATCGATGTCTGTCACCGAATGTTCCGTTTAAATTGAGGACTCATCTGTATTTTGACGACTACCCTTATCTAACTTCCCAGCGGAACGTAGCGATGCTGGGGTGCTTAAGCATCTCTTTAGTTGAAGTTAAACATAATAATGTTGTAATTGTTGTTTGTGGAAATCTAAACTGGATAATAACATTTCTACAGTGTGCGTTTGTATGTAAGAAAGTAGATAAAGGCAAACGAGGTTATGCCACGAGATAAGTTCTTAAACGATTTAGGAATACATATACGTACTTTCACGTTCTTGAAATCGGTCTGATAAAAAAATACGCAGGATTCGCACTCATATCACACTTGTTTCTGTTAAATTTCAACTGTACTCGCTTGTAAAGACTGGCCGAAAAAAGAATGAGGCACCATAAAGGCATAGGAATTAAAATTATCACATAATAGACAATAATTTTATACGGACGTTAATGGAAGTGCTCTTATGAGTACACCACAAGGAGAACACAGTAGGGGTATGAGGGTTCCGTTTTCCCATTTCGAGATTTCGAACTCTAAAACGTTGGAAATTAGTATAAAGGCATATGGAAAGGTGTTTATTGCTAACTGTTGCGATAACGGTGATAGAATAGCTTTACTTGTAGAATTGAGAGTATAATTATGAGTAATCGTAAAACGACCTCATCATTGGAATTAGAATGGCGCTATTTATAAAATATGAACATCGATGATTGATGCGTCGATATCATGTCGTACAAATATGCCGTTCTGGTTTCACGCGTAGGTAGACTATGTAATAAAACTGACCAGAGCAAGAGCTCTTGTATTTTTTTTTGTAGATTTTTATGGTTCTTACAAAAACTTTTTTCTTCCTGTTAATGCCTTTTCCTTGTTTTTTTTGTCTTTTTTTCCCACGCTTTTTATAGCCTGACCTCTTTCTTGACTTTGCGCTTTTGATGTCCACCTGTTTGTCATTGCCTACCTCATACACTTATAATTAGGTATTCAAACCATTCTGGTTGTTCGTCTTCCGTCTCTCATTAAATTACTTTTGACATTTGACCATTTTCTCCTCCATGCACCTATCATGTTTTATATTACCTTCGCCTGAATCTTTTTGAAATTCTTTTGAATTTAAGCGCGCAGCGTAGCTTCAAGGTATAAACCATTACTTAGCATTCGGGAGGGTTACCGTGTGGTTTGATTCCGGGTTCTCCTGCCCAGCTTCACTTTTTGGCTGTGGTTTCCTGGGATCTTTTCTGTCTTCATCTTTCATTCCCAAACCACCTTCCACTCATTCCCATGATCTCTTGAAGGAGGCTGGAGATGGCCCTCAGATCTAACACTCAGGTTAAGACAGTGTAAGTCAGAGGGAGTATTTGCCGACCAGAATGAAAAGTTGTTTATGTTGACATTCAAATTGACCCTTAATAAACTATGCGACCAAATACAAATTTAGAAGGTAAAGAAGAAACGAATAACGTGATTTATATTCTTTTGTACATACACGATTTAATAAAATTGAACATAGGCATCACCCATGTGATGAAAATTTTGTTTATTTTTCGTGTCAGCACATCTACATGAATGCCTGTTCCAGTAATTGAGTACCTACGTGTTATTGGAAAATTTGGTGACACTTTTAGGTACAATAAAAGGTTAAATGACTTGCAATATTAATTAGTAGGTATGGAATATATGCTAATATGGGAAATTTCAGTCGCATCATCAAGCGACCGTTGATGAACGCATGTTTCAAAATAAATTTAAGTTCTAAAATATGTTGTGTACACTCTTGGACAATGATGGTGTAATAATAATGTGAAAAACAACGCAGAGGCCTTGGCAAGTACTACTAAATAAACCAAATTCTTTCGTTATTAATGGAAGAGTTACTATTAAATATAAATTGTCGGCTGTAAAGAGATACTGCCAAATGACGAGTCAAATTTAAAACAGACTTATTAGAATACAAACATTGCATTATTTTATTACTATTATAAGACAATAGTCTATGATGATGTTCCTAAACATATGTATGTAATTAGGCCAACGTCCGTTTAACATCGGTATTTTAAGTTAAAGTTGACACACATTGGAGAATTGCTTGGCTTTTTATTTTGGTTTAATTATTGTGTAATTTATAACATTGAACCCGTTTCCCAAGCTACCATTAAGGTCTTAATGTACGGCCACCCTGGACAGGTGCTTATCCTAAACAACAAACAGTAAAATGCTGATACCATACATTAAAGAAACGAATGTAAGGTGTTTTCAGATACTTTTTTTTGTATTTTAACGAGGAATATCCTTTTGTGTCTTATTTTTCTGTTATTTGAAAAAATCGTAGGAATTGTATTTAAAAAGGATTCCCCCTTATGCAAAAAATGATCGTATGATTTTAATAAATGTGTTTATAATGTAAAACTAATGTTATTATTAAATTATAATAATCGTAAGAAACGAATCTGTTTTCACTAAATTATAAAGCGTGTCTTTCTGGGATTACCAGGAGTTGGTAGTACATATTTATTTATATAATTATAAGACAATTTAATGGATTAAAAGTAATGACCATCAAATTAGCAAATGGCCGTTGTCTTCTACGATGTTTTGAAAATGTGTGGAGCACGGTTGTTTTTCTCATTTATTACGCTGACGATGACGTCGCGTAAAAATAACCTTGATTTTAGAGACGTATAAAAAAGTTAACAACAAATCTAAGCGATTTATTCGATTATTTTGGTATGAACAATATAAAAAATCAGAATGCTGTTTTTACTGATAAATTATTTTATTTGCATTGTAAAGGTGAGCTACTGTCAACAAAGACATCAGATTTTTGTCTAGCATCCCGTTACCGGTCTTGACTTTTATTACTGTTGATTCCAGTTGATTGAGTCAGCCATCATTTGATTGAAATACATATTTGGAGTAAAATAAATAAAAGTTCTTTTTGTGAAGGGAAGAAAAAGTAGGGAAAGAGCGAATATAAACATAGGAGAGGAAAAATTAGAAGAAGTGACTGATTTTAGGTATCTAGGAAGTCAGATAAGTCAGGACGGAAGTAGTAAGGATATAAAGCAGAGGATAGCGCAGGGTCGAGTTGCCTTCAAGAAAAAGAAGTCACTTCTATGCTCGCGAACGGTTAATTTAGAAATTCGAAAAAGGTTGTTAAAGGTGTATGTCTGGAGCACGGTGCTGTACGGATGCGAAACATGGACAGTAGGCGCGGCGGAAAAGAAAAGGTTACAGGCGAATGATGAGGATACCGTGGATAGAGAAGATTAGAAATGAAGAGGTATTAGAAAGAGTAGGAGATCAGAGGACTATGGAAGTCAATAAGAAATGGGCGAGATAAGTTAGAAGGTCGCCTGAGGCATGAAAGTCTAGTCAGAAACTTATTAGAGGCAGAAACGGAAATTAGGAGGGGTAGAGGTAGACGTAGATTCGATTACTGTTCGCAGATTATTAAGGGTATGGGTTGTTCTAGTTTTAGGGAAATGCGAAGATGAGCCCAGGATGGGGAAGAGTGCAGGTACAACCAGCTTTAGAATTGACGACTTTATGATGATGATTGTGACTTTTCACAGAGCACTTGTCGGTCAAGTGTTCTGTAACTTTTAGAAAAAAAGGATGCAGTAATGGTTGTGGTCAAACGCTCGTCGACTGAATCATTTTAGGTATGAAAGAACGCCATGGAGAGCACCATCAAAAACGTTATTGTCCGTTCAAATTTGGAAGCGTTAGTGCAAGAAGCATTATTACATGAACATATGATGAAATGAAAATCGGTTACTTAACGCCATTCGGTGAAGCACGTTTTCGTTTCTGTGTCTAGTAGCTTTCCATGACGAAATGTCGAAATTTTTCATGAAACGGTCAACCACAATAGAATGGTGCGTAGGTACTAACGTTGTACATATGTAGATACATATAACGACATGCTATTCTCAACTGGACCTTTAGCATTGGCTGT